TTCCTTCCTTCCTTCCTTCCTCTGCAAAAAAAGCAAGGCAGCCCTGAATGGAACGCCAAGGGCGGACCCTCCCTCTTGCCCGGTGTTGGGCGGAGCATCGGAACCGGAAACTGACCACGCGCGATTCCCCCGGGGACGGGGCTTGTACTGACGTTGCGTCAAGAAGTTCGGCTACACCCCGTTGCCTTAGCAACGGCTCTCAGGCGGCCATCCGCGTTGCCCCATGTCGTTGCCGGAGCCGGTGAGAAGGCGGCTGAATTCCTTCAGCCGAACTGTTTTTACGGATAACAACCGCACGGGACCCGAGAACAGAGGCGACGCGAACCATATTCCGGGTGAGGGAGCGGCGGCGGCGTTGTGCCAGGCTGCCAGCTACAAAGATGGCGGCGGCGGCACCGTCGCCACCCACGCGGTGGCCGCTGCGGAGCTGCTGCCAGACTTCCTGGTAATGCCTGGAGGGACCGCGAGACCGTCAGCCGTGGCGACGCATCCCGGAGCGTCTGGGCTCTGGAGAACGTTTTAGTTCAAGGATAGTCCTTGTTTCAAACCACCCCACCCTCCAAACCCATTCTTTTAAAGTATATTAAATATTCAGTCGTTCCTTTCTTTCTCTTAATACGTCACTATTGCCAAAGGGACCAGCTGGAGTGGCGGTGCCCTCAGCACGTAAAGCAGAAGATAACCTCTGTACTGCAGCACGGGATGCGAACTAAGGATAATGACAGTATTTGGTCTAGAAGAGCAACTACCTCTTACAGAAAATTATTGCCGTGTGGGGCACGTTATACAACCAGAGGGCAAATGCAGCTATTTTCCCCTTCAGCTCTGCAGGCCAATGCAGTTAGGTATACAGAATGGCAGTTCCTTATAAGCCATTGTTTCAGCACAAACCTGTAGATATGTGTTGAGGTCTGTGGGGTCTAGAGAGTAACTCTCCCTGCCAGCAGAGTATGCAATACCTCTCGGATTCCTCACGGCTGCTTTCCTCTCTTTGCCTCTTCAGATAATGAAATAGTCTCCAGTTTGCCCTTACAGATGTCCCTGTATTTCAACCTGTGGTTCTTCCCTTTTTGGTGGGCAAGCAGTATTGCCATGTTGCAGCTGAAGGTAAGATCTGAAGGCAATAGATGCGCCACCATTTTGAGTTTTGTTATTCTTGTTTCTTGACACCTTTTGTAAGGGAGATTGGTTATTGCTTTTTACCACGCTCCTGTAATTATGCAAAGAGATTTCCACTGAGAATATTCTGAGTGGTACATTTGATGCAGATGGATTGAGAAGTAGGTGAGTTTGCAGAAAATATCTGTACCTTCTCAGTGAGGTATGGTTTACAGAAAGATGACTTCACACATAAAATTAACTTGTCCAAGCAGAATATTTATTTTTCATTCTCTTCCCAATTCTAGTATTCAGTCTTACCAGACTACTACAAATTCATCCTTGTGACAAGCATTATATTAACATCTTTAATTGAGGTTATACGTCTGTACCTTGGATACATGGGAAATTTGCAGGAGAAGGTAAGTGTGCTTCACGTACTTAAGAACCATCTTTCTAAGCAAATGGATACAGTGCTTTGAAATAGACAAACATTGGAAAATGTATAGTTTGAATTCAGGGCCATCTTTGAGTTGAATTCATTCTTAATTCAGCCAGGTGTAGTAGCACTTAGCTGACCTTGGTTGATTTGAAAAAAAAAAAGTAAGCATGCCATTCCTGATTAACACTTAGATGAGAGACCACCAAGCTACTAAAAAGCTGTAGGCTAGCTAGGAAGTTGAAAAAACTTCCTGGAAGAAGGCAGTGGCAAACCATTTCTATTGTTGAGAAAATTGTATGTGCTCATATGAATATAGGGTTGAGCTTGATAGTGGTGTACAGTATGCATGTGTTCAAGAAGCTCACAAATGTAGACAGGAAGGCAGCAGTGTCTAGCAAACTGATGATGTCAACATGATGACATGTGATGACATCATTACACACATGTCATCATTACCCTTCGATATCATTGCCCTGGCAGAAAGGTAACATCTTTCTTCCTCTGTTGCTTGCTGATAGTTCAGATTTAAGGTATGCGTAACCACTGGTAGATCAATTCTCTATGAATTTGTCTAAGGAGCTAAAGTTTGACTATGCATTATGCAAAGAAGTAATTCCTTTTAGCAGTCCCAAATCATTCTGCATGTTTAATTTAGTTTAGTTTAGTTTAATCTAATCTAATTTAATTTAATTTAAATGTAATTAGTTGACCATCTTAAATGGCCCAAACAGAACTGTCTGTGGGTACATTAGGTCAGAGATATCTGCCCGCTCCACTCTGTCACCTAAGTGAAGAGACAAAGTCAGAAGTAGACGACCGCTGTCTCAGGAACCAACCAATTGTAAAGTCTTTTAGAGAGTTGAAAAGCCCTCAACAGCAGGCTGAATTTGCCTTTTTTTTAAACAGCAGCCACACATTCTGTTGACCTTGTCACTGAGCTATCTACCAGAGCCAAGATCCCTTTCCCAATCAGATCCTATTAGATGTATGAGCTGTTTGATTTTTTGAGTCAGGGTGCTCACCATCAAGTGCTTACGCTGCATTTGCTATTTAAAGAGCCATTCCCACAGTTTGGAGATTTTTTTTTTTAATTATCTTAAAAGTTCACTAGAATCGGCAAACGTTTAATACTCTAACTCCAGACCATACGTAAACAAATTTAAAAAATATCAGTCTCAGCATTCACTTTGACTGTCTCACAGTTCAAAAATGATCCATTTACTTTTACTGTTTCCTTTTCTTTAGCCAATTACCATTCTGTGAGAGCTGTGGTCCTCTTACCTCACAGTGAATTAATTTACTCAGATGTCTTTAATGAGGGATTTTGTCAGAGGATGTTTGCACATCCCTCTCCATATTCTTGTCAATACCTTTAAAATATTTATTTATTAAATTTACATACCATCTGACTTCTAACAATATGAATTCTATGGTAGGGAGATATATTGGATTTAAGCTAACTTGCTTATAACTTTCTGCATCTCTTCTTGATCCCTTTTTTAAACATTGAAATCATACTGATTTCCTTGAGAACAGAAGTATCAAACATAAAGAGAAGTTGTATATTTCCTATGTCTATTTCATATTTTTTCTGTAGTAACAGACTCAAAGCTGAACAAGTTCTGTTGGCTCTTTCAATATACAGGTTTGCTATTGTTCATAATTTCACAGCTGTGATGAGGCTTACTTAAATAAGAACGAAGTCCTCTAAATTCTTGAGATATATTAAGAGTTAATAATATACTGAAACAGTATTTGTAATGTTTAAAAGTGAAATGTTTAAAAATTAACATGGAACTAAAATGAAAATTATCTAAAGCGTCTGTGTGTGTGTATCTGTAAAACAAACATTAGCATTTTGGGGGGCGAGGACCACACTTGGTGTTTGAGGGCATACTAAGAGTCATGGAATTTGATTTCATTTACATTTAACATTAATTAAAATTCAATTTAAAGTTTTCTTCTAGTTAATATTTTTTCTTTTTCAGTCTCATTAAAAATCACAATTTATTAACAACCCTGAAGCTCTTTGGGGTCACTCCCAGACTTTCAGGGCGCTATACACAATGCTGGACTTCTGGTTGTGTAGCTTTGCTGTAGAACACAGATTAAGAAGTGGGCTGCACTGAACTCAGTGTGATTTAGTTCTGATTAAACATTTGTAAAAGTGCCCTGTTGATCTTCCATTAGGCCAGCATTTTGCCTATAGTTTCAATAGAAGTCTAAAATTGTGCTGTCCAATATAAGGTTTAATTAAATAAGGTCTTAATTATGTTGCCCATGTGCAGAATGTAATTTCCTGGTAAATGAAAAGAATAGTGCTAGGTTTTACAGGTAACATAGAATGTAATTAAATGTGTTGATTTCAAGGGCCTGCAGTTTGTATTCAGCTGTGGCCTTCATGTGTAAGATTGATGTATAACTATTTATATCTCTGTCCCCTCTAAGCCTCTTTGTCCTAGCTTTTGCTGAATTCTGCTTCCTCCTAGCCTCCAAGATTCTACATGATCAGAGCCTACTATTTCAAATCAGAGCCTCTGACACAGAGCAAGACTTTAAAGGAAGTGATTGATGGCATTTTCCATCTGCTGCTCTTAAGGGTAGCTAAGATGCAGTGCTTCCTGTTGAAATGAGACAAACTTGTATCTCATGACCCTTCCCCCATTGGCCTTCAGTCCTGTTTGTGTTTTCTTCCCCTGTCATTGAAATAATATAGAGAATGATGGCTGGCTGAGATGTCTGCCTGAAAAGTCTAAAAATGATGCTTCATTTCACTGACAGGATTGTCTTCAAAATCATAACAACCACAATTGAAAAGGAGCTTTTTCTGCAGAAGAAAAACATGAAATCTGATTCTTGCACTATAGCACCGAAAAACTGTCCAGACTTTGGATTTCTATCTTTCTGTGTTTATGTCTTGAACGCTGGTGTAGAAAGCCAGACCAATAGATTTTCTGTACCATTCGGTGCTCTGTTTGAATTGTCATGTTGATAGGTTAATATAATATGTTGATTCCTTTTTTTGTCCTCTCTTCTTATAGGTTCCTGAACTAGCTGGGTTTTGGCTCCTGAGTCTCCTTTTGCAAGTGCCCTTAATTCTTTTCCTACTTTTAAATGAAGGACTGAAGATTCAACCTTTGGAACGAGCAGTAAACATTATTTTTGTAGTATTTCTTGTCTTCCAAGTTATTTCTGCATTCCTTGCCCTCAAAAGAATGGTGAACCAACTGGCCACTCGTTTCCATCTTCATGAGTTTGACCGGCTAGATGCTCATCTTCCCTCTGATAACTTAGCCTGGCAAACAAGAAGACTGGAAGCTCCAGGGATTATGGGACAAAAAGTGGAAGAATTTCATTCAACAACTGGTGTTTGGGGATCTGCAGTGAGAGCTTGATGGGACACAGAGCAACCACACATTGATGCTCCTCTACTTGTTGCCTTAACTATGTGTGTTTTAGAGAATCTGATTTAGAAATTCACCTTGTTCTGGATAGTGCAAACTAAGAGGAGTGTTATCAACAAGATATTCACTGTAGACTGATTCTGATGCAGTGGGAAGTGCTAGGGAAAAAATTGCCATTGGATAGTACATCTGCCCATCTTTTGCAAGCATGATTTTTGAGCAGATACATCTTCCACCCATTCCTGCTTATGTTATCTATTTTATGGAATCCATATTGATATGGCCTTAATCTGTTATCCTTCAACATGTATTCATATCCGGACATTTTTCAGTGGAGAAAAAAATATGTTTGAATCAGCATTCAGATTTCACAATCCTTTATGGACACCTGGAATGTGATTAAGGTTTTCTAAACAAAATTGGTTTTATTTTATTTGAAGATACTATGGGACTATTTTGTAAACAATAAACATTTTTAAAATACTCTTTTTAATATATTCCTGTTTTAACCTTTTAAAAACAAACTAGCATTTCTCACTGAAAGATGCTATGAGAATTACAGCCAAATATCTCCCAATGTTTATTGCTTTTCCAGAAATGGGGGAAGTCTTCATCACCTCTGTATAATTAAAAAGAGATTGAGTGCTGGGCTAGTCATAAGCAAGTTATATAATTATATAAAGTGAAGCCAAGACTTATTCATATACGTAGTATTGTTAGCTATGTTCAGAGAAGAACACTGTTAATAGCTCAACTATTTTCTGATAGAGTGCAAAGCATTTGAAAGAAGTGTTTTGCAAAATGAACTATTAAAAAAATTAAAAGTATTCACATCCCACCTTATTACAAGAACTAAAATCTTGGGAGAAGCATATAGAGTAGAATGCCCAAAATTTGACCCTATGGAAATATGTGGCCAAGCAAGCAAGTTAACTGAGATAAGGATGTTAACTTTGAAATCAGACAAGAACCAGATGACAGCAACCAGAGATAAAAAGTTAACCGCCATGCAGCAAGTCATGTTTGACTCAGTAACCTAATTGCCAACAAAAGGACAGCTGAGGTGACATATGATGAAATGCTGGCAAAGGATAAAAGGCACAGCCCTTTAAAGAAAACCTTTATTTGGCACCCTGCCATCAACATATGCCAAACACTCCTGTCTTCCACAACACCATGCGTCACCTGGCCAGTTCTGTAACAGAGCAAATGAGTATGTGCCTGTGTGCATGTATGCGTAATGCTTAAGGAATTGTAATAGCACTTTTGTAGGTTAAGAGAGACTGTGCTTCCTTGAGCATTTCATTATTGCATAAGTTCCTGAACTGTATCTCTGATGGAAGTGTGTGAGTGTATCTTCTAATGAATTCCTCCCCTACTGACCAAGATTCTGCACCACCAAGCCTTGGCTGCACTTACCTAGTCTCTGGACTAGGCAGAACCTAAAGAAGGAGTAAGGTGAATGTATCTCAGTGGTTTTGAAAGTAAAAGTGAATGGTTGAACTGTAACATTCTTTACAAGGCTCATGTTGCTCCAATGTTTGTCTCCAATTCTCATTGCACGTGCATATAGATTCCTGCTAGGACAACCAGCAAAGTGAAGTAGCTATGCGTGCATATACATGCAGAAATAACAGGAAATTTTTGAAGCAGGCACATGAGCTTTACAAATGATCTGATTGCTCTAACTCCTCAAAGTGAATGCATTGTTTGCACTGATGCATATTGTAAAGCTCCTGTTTCCAATCTTTTCTTCAGCCCTATTCTGATTTTATGGCATCATAAGAACTTTGGTAAGTTCATATGCTGAGAACAGGAAGAGAGATATCTCAAAATTCAAAGTAACAATTCATGTTCTCAAACTTGTTCAAGTGAAGACTGATAGCGATGTATCAAACAGAACATCTTGGTGTGTTACATTATTCAATATATTTTATCTACATTATGATAGGTTTTGCTGTTTTTGTAAATATGGTGTGCTGATTATGTTACAGTAACCATATTTTGGAGCCAAAATTGTGGATTTTGGTAGTATAAGTATGGGGCTATTGGCTCTGAGCTGTCAAAATCCAGATGACATGGGTGACTCTGACACATCTAGAGGTTGTTCAGATTTTGGCAGCCCAGATCTGTTAGCCTTATTATACGATTAACATCCACAACTGTGGCTCTAAAAGTATGGATTTCCTGAAAAATCTATCATACATTGCAGTTGTTGTACAGTATAGTTTTCTTTATATCCTCCATCTTCTACCAGTTGTGTCTCATATCCTCCTCCATAAAGACTGGCTGATATTTCCTGTTGATTGAAAAGAACTGTCCAGAACCTTTGAGCATTCCATAATAGTTAAAAGTAAGCTTAAATCCAGATAAGATAAAAGAAACTAGATTCAGGGAGTGAGATTCAGCTTGTTTTGAATGGAATTGCTTTCCCTATAGAGCAGTGTTTTATTTCTTGATCCTCAGCTGTATTGGATTCATGGGAAAAGAGCACATTTGCTCAATTATGGCTACTATGATGGGACCACTAGACCTCGGTTTCTCTCTTAAGATGTTTATATTAGAAAATCTGCACTGGTTGCCAACTGTTTACAAGTGCTATTTTGACATTTAAATATTTACAGCATGACTGTCTGAGAGATCATGTCTTCTGCTATAAATCTGCCCAAGATCTACAGGAGAGGCCCTACTGAAAACGTCCTGGTTCTGTTGAAGAAGTACCACATATGGAAGGTGGATGAGACCTTAAGCTACACCTTCTATTTATTAAACCTCAGCAACTGGAATGAACAAAACAATAGTTCAAGAATCAACCAAATCAGCAACCAAAGTTTCAAATGTCAAAAGACGCAACAACAGCTAATCAGTATGGGCAGGTATGTTGGAGAGTTACCGGGATCTTTTACCAGGAATTTGCTGGTTGTTCAAAAATTGCAATTATTGTTGTAATTGTTCTAAAAATTGTATACTACCAAATCAAAACACTTCTAGCAGATGAAAATAGTAAAATATATCTCAATCAAAAACCAAATTCCAATAAAATCCATTCTTCTCATAGAAACAATAAGCAAAATTAAAAACCACCAAAAGAAAAAGGCAAAGCAGTACCACCACTAGAGTTCAAAGGCCTGTTGAAAATGTTTTTACTGCTTTCCAGAAAGCTAGCAAGACGAATGTCAGGTAAACTGCAAAGAATAAGTTGTTCCACACTGTCGGGCCACAAGGTTTGCCTCCAAGCCCTATCTCCTGGATCTCTTACATGGTGGAGGGTCTAAGCATTCCCTCTTGGGATAGTCATGTAGGACTGCAGATTCTAGTTGAAAAGGCTGAAGGTAAATGAGAGCTGAACTATGGGGTCTTATAGGTTAAAATCAATATTTTGAATTGGAAACCTATAGATCACCAAAGGAGTGTCAGTTAACTGCCTATAATTAATTGCACCAATAGTTGGGCCACAACATTTCACCCTAAATGCAGTTTCCAGATTCTGTTCAAGGGATGCCTTATGTAGAGTGGATTACCATAAGGGCACAAATTACTGACCATAAAAGGCCAAAACAAACACATCAGCTAAAGCTGTGCAAAGGCTCCCCTGATCACAACATTCATCTGTGGCTTGAGCAAGAGCCATGAGTCCAGAAGAATTTCCAAGTCACTGACCTGCTCTTCAGGGAGAGTGCAACCTTGCCCAGAATTAACTTAAGAACTGGAGAAAAGCCAGATTGTTTACCTGCAAACAGCACCTCTATTGTGGTGGTGTTCAGTTTAAGCCTACATTGTTGCATTCAGTTCCTCAGAGTTTCCAGAAACCATGGATTTCCACTGCACTTTCAGTCTGGCCTGTGGTGGCAATATATAATTGAGTATCATCAGAATATTGATGACACCTCACCCAAACCAATGTGGCTTCATGTAGATGTTGAATAACACTGTGTAGAGAACTGAGCCCTGTTTTACCCCACACTGGAGCAACCACAGGCTTGACTACTCACTCATAATTACCACCAACTGGCACCAACAATTCAGGATGGAACAGAACCACTATAAAATGATGCCCTGGGTTCCAACCCTCATTGTTGGAATCAACAGGATTGTTTGAATCAAACTCTGCTGAGAGGTCAAATAAGACCATGAAGGATTCCTTCTATCCATCCAGATCCCAATGTAGGTCACCATCATCTTCAAGTCATATAGCATACCTCTTCCACTAAAGAAGGCATTATCACTTCCTGAATCCACACACCCTGGCTGCCCACAGGAGAAGAATGCAGCCCCAGAGAACTCTATCCACTTTCCTAGACTCCACAAACTGAAAGTAATCCAAATGATACTGCAAGATATTGCCCCATCATTACTGTAAATTCTGCTCAATGTTAGGCCTCAGAATTAAGTTCATCAAATCTGCGAAGTCAAATTCTACCTTCTAAGCATTGTTTTAGGTTAATTTACAAAGTCAGTAAAGCAAAGCTGGCACCCATTTAGAATTAGCAATTTTTTCAAGGCACATTTACATAATGAGAATTCACTGATTTTATGCAATCAGCATGCCTATGATATATTTGCATTTCTTGTTATGACAATATTTCAGCTTTCTTAGAGTCCTATATTTCAAACATTACTACATTTCATGCAAGGATGCCAACAATGCTCTTTCAGTTCTTCTATTATCTTAAATAGATAATGTTGTGGTTAGTTCTTTTCCCCCTGGGGAATTTATTCATTTTGTTCTACACTGTTCTTATGAGATTCAAGTCAGTTTAACTCGGAGATTAACATGGGGGGTGGGGGGTGAGATTAGCATTATGGAAGAAAAGTTTCAGAAGATAGTGATTCATTCAGTATGACCAATTTAGAGGTTCATTTTCTATTCTGCCTTATCAGTAATGGCAATCTTCAAGGGGCATAGCCTTTTATTGGAAAATGGTGATTTTCTCTCTTGTTGATGAGAAAAATGCAATGCTAACTGTCAAGATGTGATGCTAACCTCTGGTCATGTCTTTGTGTTTCTGACCAGAAACCTGAATGAAAGAGCGTGAAGGAAAGCATCAAGCCTCTTAAAGGAGGCAAAATACACACTAGTAACTTGTGAAGGCAAAACGGACAAAATTAAAGGCTGTGGCGGGGGCGGGGGGGGGGGAGCAAATGACAAGAATAAGTGATAAGGAGCCACAAAAAGGATTAGACAGGCTGGTGGCAACTAGCAATTGCCAAACGCAACACAATCGAAACTGGCCATTGAGATGGGACAGCCCTAGGATATAAAGAACAGAAATGAAGGAAAGCCCTGGATTACTGTGTTCTTCAATATTGAATTTTCCCTCCAGAAGCATCAGGCATGAAATATGATAGTGATAAGCCAAGATTGAAAACAGAGCCATGGAAAAAAGAAGGGAGGGGGAAGGAAAGGAAAGGAAAGGAAAGGAAAGGAAAGGAAAGGAAAGGAAAGGAAAGGAAAG